ATTGCACTATATACTCGATGGGTTAATATTCAAAAAATATATACTCGATGGGTTATATGTCATTGGTGCGAATCATTACCTCGAATGATTGGGTCAACAACCGTCCAAAAAGGGGGAGATTGTTGGTGCAATGATAGGCCCCCTTTGTTTTGGAGTTTGTTGACATAAACAATATGGGACTTATGTGTTTGCTAGTGCACACAGAGTACCAGGTCCCTGAAGTATCGAGGAGTTTGATGCAAACGACAAAGATAATCTCCCTGTGTTGCAGCGAAGGTTATCACCGAAGATGATGCTAACAAGAGTGACCCCTAAAAATTGCTGGATTTCAAGAAATTGGTCTGGTGTCTGTTCGAAGAAAATGACTACGTTCGAGGAAGAATGAAGACGTAGTATTTGTTTCGTTATTCTTCTTCTTTCATTGAGTCATAGGACCACCGTACTATTAAGAAGGGTGTATCATTTGAAGCTTTGATTCTCTGATGCTAAACCCAAATCCTATGAAAGATGTGAGATAAATCTATTTGTGCTCCGAGCAAATAATTGCGAGCAAGAGACTGTGATCTTCTTCGCTGTGAGAGATTTGTCTCAGACCGAGGAGTTAGCATTACTTGTTCCTCAAGTAATGTTACCGTTGCTCCAAATCCGTCCGTTGTGAATGTGTTGGTTGGCCATTGGCTGGAACCCGTGTCCAAAATGGTCATTTCCCATCTGGGAAGGCTGCGGCTATAAATAGCCAACCCGTGTCGGCTTTGTCCGGTGGCTGCTTCATTTGATTATGAGAAGATTGTTGAGCAACCCACTCTCTGAGCGATTAGAGTTTAAAATCCCCCGAGAGAAAAACCCTAGAGCAGAAGAATTGGATAGTGGTTTAGCATCACTGGAATCTAAGTTTAGTACTCTCCACCTATTACTCTTGAGAGTTGCAAACTCTCTAGACGGTTAGGTGTCAAGTTCTTCAGAGACCAAGAGTGATTGTGGTTTTTGAAGAAGTCCGCAAAATTTTGGAGATCACCTTCAAGTATCTACCACGAGTAATCAGCATCGGTTGACGAATCGATTATCGAGGAGAATAGGGTGAAGAGAGTTTATCTTCCGTGTTAAGTCACAACCCCTCCAACCAGACGTAGTCCTTGTGTAGAAGGACGAAGTGGTCGAACAAATACCTTGTCGTCATCGAGCATCTTCGGTTATCTCTGTCACTCATGTTTACCTTCAATGCATTTTCATTCGTATGATTCACATCAATGCATGTATTAGTTTCCTTTCGGTACTCTGTTTTAGTTCACCGTAGTTTGTTTTTCATTCGTTCCGCTGCTGGGTTCTGAGAGATTTAAGTTTTCCTAAGAAAATTTAAAACTCCCATTCACCCCCCTTCTGGTAGACATACTTCGTTCCTACACTTTCTATTAGCATTGTGCCAAGATCACTAGCTTAGGACCCCCTACCAGAGATCCGTCAGTTTTAGCACGGACAATCAGGCCACAAGAACGTTCCCTCTTGGCACACATCTGTACCTCCAGTCCGGCACATGTGCCATGCTGTGTGCCATGATGGGCCACAAATGTCATGAACAACATGACCACACACCTGACCCGCAAACATCTGTATAACCGCAAGGGTCAGCTCTGATACCAACTTGTTATGCTCTGGACACACTCGCCGGTTACTGGTCGTTACCTCTAGCGGGATCTAGACTGGCCCACAAATCAACACTAGTCTTTCCTGCGTACTTTGTCCTCACTCGTGCACACCTGGGACCAACTTCTCAGTCGGTCACCCATCCTGAAATTGCTCCAACTAAGCACGCTTAATTTTGAAGTTCTTTTCGTATGGGCTCCCGAAAAAGAAGCAATTCCTTATTGATATGAGTAGTCTCTCATCTTATTAAGCCAGGTTATCACACCTCTCTCTATAAACTTGTGGTCATGTTTATCAAGTTAGGCGGAGTTAGAAGCCGTCTTCAAGGAGATCGACAAGGCGGCAGATGAAGTGTATGGAAAGAGCAAGGACGAGGATGACATCGCCAGCTCCGCCACGCTGCCACGGCCACGAAGTCGGCACATCCGCGGGCGTCGCCGATGGCGAGGAAGGGTAGAGCATGGGAGGTCGCCGGTGGTCAGGTCCCTGGAAGTCCACCCTCCCGGGTTGAAGCCAAGCTTGGCGGGCTCATCGTCGTCGGCCGATTAGCCGCTTGTAGGCTACAGTTTCCAGGCCTCATATGGCCGGCCAGACATGAGGAATAGGCCGATGGTTATTTAGACTAGGTTTAGAGTACGTTTAGTTGAAATGTGTCAAAATATAATGAGTATGCTCTGATTTAGATGAGAAGCATCCGGTTTTATTTAAAAAGAATTATCCAAGTATGAATGAGTATGCTCTGATTTGTTTAAATAACCATCAAACATATTCACTTTCGTTATTTTTTTTGAAATGTAACCGGACATATGTGTCTACGGTTGGATGAAACGGTTCCGTATCCATGTTTGTGCGGTGCCTCGTCCGTGGGTTGGTACGGTGTCCGGTTTAGATATACGCGTGGGCCATGAACAAGATATCAAGCATGAACCATTCACCCGCAAAAAAGCATGAACCGTTGAACCCATCTGGACGACTCATCGATGCAATAATGTCCATCGTCTCCAGCACCAAGGCTGTGCATGTCAACAGTGCAATCCACGACACTTCGCCCTGCGTGAGACTAGTCACAATGGGGAGTAACTTAGACTAGTAACATCACATTTTACTAGGTTATGTTACTACCTCCACAGTGGGTAGTAACATATGTGTGCTGTCATGTTATGGTTCATTTATTAGCCTATAGACTCATATTGTCTTGGTATGTGTGATGTTGCAGTAACTACCTAAGACTAGCCACAGTGGAAGTAAGTTCAGCAGTAACATCAAGTCCAACTCAGCAAATTTGCTTATGTGGCAATGAGTTAATGAAGAGAGAGATAATTGTAGTAACTTAACTAGTTACTGTAACATCACATATCCCAATGCAATATGACTCTATAACCTAATAAATGAATCTTTGCATGTTACTACCTCGGTCCGGGTTTATTGGGCCCCCTTGTATTTTGAGCCAGACTTTGACCATCTATATGACTAACAAAATATAAATTATATATTACAAAAAGTACACCATTGGATTTGTATTTGAAAGAGCTTTCCCATCGTATAATTTCTGTGACATATAGTTCACATTTCATTAATTAAACTTATAGGTCAAACTTTAGCACAAAATAAGAGGGGGCCTAATAAACCCGGACGGAGGGAGTACCACACTTAAGTTACTACCCACTATGAAGGTAGTAACATAGTCTAGGGATATGTGTATGTTACTATCCATTGTGGCTAGTGTAAGAGCAAGTATAATAGAGCTGAGTCAGCGGGTTATAAGAAATAAATTAGTATATTTGTACTTAGTTGAAGGAAAGAGAAGAGAAGAGAGAAGGTAAGCGGTCTCTTTGTGAAGAGCTAGCTCTAGCACGTGCTCCTAGGCACTTTGTGATAATGAAATGTGGGCCACATAATAAAAAAGTAGTACACTCTTTTGATCTATTATTATACATGTTGGCTATAAGATGGACTCTAGATGACGTGGCACTAGCTTATAGCCGGCAGCTGGCTATACTGTTAATCATGCTCTAAGTTAGCACCATCACCTCTCTCATCATTAAATATGTGCCACATAAACAAAATTATTTTGAAAAATGTGATGTTAGTGGTCAGTTTGACTCTGGTGGGGGACCGTGTGTGCGACTGCGATCCCGCCCGTCCTCTCGAGTGGAGGGGAGCGGGCGCCAATGCGTCGCACAGGGGAGCGGACTCGATTCTCGTGTGGTTTGATCAGTCACAGCGACGACTCTAGCACAACCCTCTTGGTTTCAATTCGATCAAAAAAGAAAACCTACTCGCTCCGTTTGTCCCGGCCGACGCGTGGCCCCGCCCGCTCCGTCCGGCCCCACGTGCGTTTACCAGGCCAGCGCCGCAATACGCAGGAGCGAGGAAACCCAGCCCGAACCGAACCGGCCCGGACCGGCCGCCGATGGATTCGAAAGCACGTGCACGCGCGGGGGGGAGGCGACCGTTACGGGCACGTGTCACCGGCCGGGCGGCCGGCCCTGTCCGTCCGACCCAACTCCGCCCAGTCCAGCGGCGGCCCACTAGCCGTTGGGCGTTGGCCCCCTTCCCCGGCACGCCTTCCCCCCCTCCCCTCGATTCAAATCCAGCCCCCCTCCGCGGCGGAGGCAGACAAACCCCCTCCTTTCTCGTACGTGACACTCTCTAGTTTCTCCCCACAAACCCCAGCCCCAGCCCCCGAACGGAACAAAAAGAAAACAAATCGCTCGAATCCCAAATCTTTCCTTCCCGATCCCTCTCGCTCGCTCTAT